TCAGTTGCTTTGCCAATCACTCTCCACAGCAAAGCAGGACCACACCCTCAACAAGGCCTCTGGGAGGAGGTGCTTTGGCCTACCCTAGTGGAAGCTGAGACCTATGAGAGAGCGATCAGTGAAACTCACACGTGAATTCTCCTGCGCCTCAGTTTCCCCATCTCTAAAATGGGCTACACCTCCACTCTCTTGGCTAGTTCTCTCCCATTTCACGCTAGGCCACTAGGAAGTGAAATCAGTGCTTAACCACAGCTTAAAAGCCCTCTTGCTAAGCGCCAGTCGCCGCGCCGGGCATGCTCAGTAGCTGGGGCCAGCGGCTCAGGGAGTAGGAAGCAGCTTTCAGCGCCCAGGCGTCTGACTGCGGGCACTTTGATGAATCACGTGTGTTGAGGCCCTCTTAAAGTGATAGGCACCTACTTTCCCTCCACCCTAAACACCGCCCTCAGGGCGGCGGCGACCGTGATAATTGCAGCTGCTCAGGGGCAGGGCTTGCCCCAGCACCGAGTAGTGGCAACGGCGTGTTACGTCCTGGGTGCCTTGGAGTTGAGAGCCCGGGGGGCCTGAAACCCGCAGCTCCCCAGGCATACACACTCACACAGGAAGAGGTGCTGCCGAATCAGCGCGGGGCAGCGCGAGCGCTGCGAGGGGCTTCCTCAGTTGAGGAGAGGTGGGGTTACAGGGCACAGGTGACAGGGCCGGAGAAAGATGGAGCAGCCTGGGGCGGCGGCGTCGGGAGCGGGAGGCGGCAGCGAGGAACCCGGTGGGGGCCGGAGCAACAAGCGGACCACAGGGAACCGGGCTGCCAACGAAGAGGAAACGAAAAACAAACCCAAATTGGTGAGTGCTCCCGCAGCCCCCGCCGGCCTTGGGCACAGAGAGAGCCCCGGGATCCTCCTGCCGTTGAACACGGGGGGTACCCGGGGCCCCCTCCCAAGGGTGACTGCGACCTCGCTGTACAACTCTGGGAGCCGCTAAATGAGCGGCCACGCCGAGGCGCTGAGACGGCGTGGGGGCGGAAGAGCACCCCCTTCTTCACTTAACCCCTTTCTCACTCTTGTCAGTCCAGAGGCAGTACGGGAGGGAGAAAGGCCCCACCCCAATTTAGGGAGACCCCGAATACTGGGTAGAGTCTGTTGTTTGTCTAACTTGTGGGCACGAATCATCTATGCGCGATTCTATTCCCCTCCCACCTCTTGTCAATTGCTGTTTTGCCTCTTAATGCTTAGGGTTCAGAGCTGGGGAACCTCTCGTCTTATCTGTCCAAATCCTTGGGAGCCCACCCACAGCCTTGCAAATCATGAACGACACAATGTAGGCCCCCGATTTTTCCACTTTACCAGAAATCTAAGGAAGAGGCGCCTTACGTGCGTTTTTTTCCGTTGCCTCTCCATGTGCTCTCTTCAGGAAACATTTCTTTACAAGGGTGGGGGAGCGTGGGAGTTGAGGCTTGGTGAGGTACCACCAACTTTTGTGTGTGTGAGAAGCATAGTCATACAGTACTGCTACTTAGTTGATTAACAACGCTCAAAAGCAGTAGACAGACTCTGCAAGTCTCAACGTCCTGATAGTGTGAACCAATGGTTGCAGTCTATTTCCTGCCACTGACTTAATGATGCAGAGGAATGAAATCTATGGGGCCTGGTATTAGATTGGGAAATACTGGAGTTTCCGCAACTCATCAGTAAAAGGGGTTCCTCTTTTTGTAAACTTTCTAATTCGGGTGGCAGGAGAGGAAGGGGGGGTTCCTGCACAAATCCAGCATATGCCCCTTGTATCTGAATGTTGTTAGTCTAGATCTGAAGCACAAGCCACATGTTGCACGTCTAGTTTTCAGTTTTAGCTGGCAAACAGATTACAGTAGAGTAGGGGATGGTGACATAAAACTAAAGCTGTGCCTTGTGGCATTTGACCATTTGGTGTGTGCCTGTTGTACTTCTCTCTCTTGCCTCCGGTTTGCCTTTCAATTATGAACTGTCCATATTGGGAAACAGTGGCCAAAGTGTTTAGCATTTCAGGAAATAATTCAACCTTCCATTATGTGCGAAGGGACAGGATGAGATAGACTAAAATGACAAAAAAAAAAAAAAAAGTCTCATTAATTCTATCCTAATTTGAAGCAAATTGGCGGCTTATTTGATGTGTCCTGTTACTCTAGTACTTACAAGTGAAGAAATCAAGACAGAGTTTTTGTTACTTGTTTCTCTTGGCAGAGGTTTCATGTGTGCTTCATTACTGCTTTTAGACTGCATCCCTCAATCATGAAACTTAGAAAAGTTCTGTTGAGTGTTTCACCAATGCTTAAAATGTGTTTAAAAATTCTAATATTATGATTTTGAAATGTATCAGTTTGCCATAAAAGGGTGCACATCTTTCCTTTTTTTTTTTTGGACCCAGAACAAAACAACTGTGGTTTAATCAGCGGTTATAAGTTTAATTTGTAAAAAGGAAAAGTCAACGGATAATTTCCACAAAGAGTTTGGTACATCCTGCATGAACTGTTAAGAAGCATGCTCTCAAGAAAAAGCACTTATCTATGGCTGTTAATAATAACACCTTGATTATGTTCTTCCTTTCCCTTTGGCCATTTGTCCTGTTTTATCTTTTATGTTTTACTTGCTTGGACAAAGTAACTAGATAGTTAGGAGATGGTATCACTTTCAGTTCCTAACTACCTTCACTGTTCAGTGTTGAACATAAGCTTGATACAGCAGAACAAGTATTTGAATTCAAGAGTTTGCTAATGACAGTGTGAAATTTCTTTTGCTCAAACGTAAGTTTGGAGTTTTACATGATTTACATGATCTTACAAGCAGATGGGTCAGAGTTAATAAAAACAAATTTAGGAGGATATTATATAGCACATTGTAAGGCAAGCAAATTGACCAAACAAAGCTTTTTATGTGTTTTATTTATTATTATTATTTTTTAGTTTTTTGGGGCCCAGTTTTCAGAGTTATAACTAAAGTTCTCATCATGTTCTTCTGAAGCCTTTTAAAAGAGAATTCTTCTGGAATTCTTAACTTAAAATACTGCTGGTAAGGCAAAGGTCTGTTTGTTTGGTGTATGCCCTAGAGTTGATTTTGACTCAGGGACCCTGTAGGACAGAGTAGGACTGCCCCATAGAGTTTACAAGGCTGTAAATCTTAATAGAAATGTACTGCCACATCTTTCTCCCACAGAGCAGCTAGTTGGTTTGAACCATGATCCTTTGGTTAACCACGGGGCTCCCAGTAAAGATTACTGCTTTGGAAACCCTATGGGACAGCTCTATTCTGTCCTATAGGATAGCTGAGACAGAATCCAGTCAGCGGCAACAGGGAATCTTTATGGAAACAGATTGCTACATTTTTTTTTTTTACCATGGAGCCAATGGGAGATTTGAACCAACAATATTTTGGTTAGCAGCCAAAAGCTTTACCTAAAGCTAAATTTTATTTTTTTGAGTAATATTGTGTACGCCAAAAACCAAACTCAATGCCGTTGAGCAGATTCGACTCATAGCGACCACTTCTTGGGTTTCTGAGGAGGAATCTCTACTCCAGAAGTAGATTGCCCAACCTTCCTTCCGAGGAGTGGCTGGTGGCTTTGAGCTGCTGGGCTTCTGAATAGCAGTCAAATGCCTTAGGCACTACACCACCAGAGGATCACTTTAATATACCTACTCCTCACTTACTGACTTGGCTAGGATCCAAAGACCAGGTCATTATGTTAAAATTGGCATTATGCAAAATGGAGGATGACCAATCAGATCATAAAATGGAAGATGATTGCATCATTATGTAACTACCAAATTACATCATTATATAACTGCCAAATTATTCATTACATAAATGTCTAACTATTGAGAATCATGGCCCAGCCAAGTTGGCACATAACCTTAACCATCACAACCAGCGTTACTCTCACCTCTCACCTTCACGTTCATTGCTGCCAGATGTATTTTGTTAATGTACAAAAGAGTCAGTAGATTTTTCACTATTGTTGTAAATGTGAAATGTCAACTAACAAGATAGTTGATTAGTTGAGGAGTAGGTGTAGTCCCTGAGGGCCTGGGTGGTATAAATGTTTAACCCCATTGTCTGCTACTGAAAGATTGGAAGGTTGAGTCTACCCAGAGGTGACTCAGAAGAAAAGCCATTGAGATCCCTATGGCACACAGTTCTTCTCTCTTGCATAAGGGGTTGCTGTGAGTCTGCATGGACTCAAGGACAACTAGTGGTAATAGTCCTTAATTGTGTGTGGGTGTGTAAAGGAGTTGTGCTGGGTTACAGAAAAAAATGATATGGCAATAGTAATTATTTGTGTAGGAGGATAGGGGTTCTTAAGCTCCTGAAATTATATGGAAAAAAAATTGAATGTATGTAGGTACATCCATTGTTCTGCACTCCATAGCTTCCATCAGCTTCTCAAAAGTATCCATCATGTATAGAAGGATAAGAACTACTGGGTTACAAAGGATTGAGAGTAAGGGAAATGACTCATTTGATTCTACTTTAAGTTACTGCGTAGTGGGAGGGGGTCAGTGAAGAGGAGAGAAGCGAAGTAGCACTGACCACATGCGTGATTGGTATTGGTGATAATTCATCTGGAGGTAAAAAGGGGTTGACTACATAATTACTATATAGTATTAGCTAAGATTAAAGTTTGTACTGCATAGAGAAATTACCTCAGTAACTATAGTTATATAGTTAAACTGATAGTGAATTCATAAAGCATAAGACTTGTGACCCACCAGCCACTCCTCAGAAGGAAGGTTGGGCAATCTACTTCTGTAGTGATACTGCCTCGGAAACCCAAGGAGGGGTCACTATGAGTCAGATCCAACTCGAGGGCACATAACAACAACAACAAGGCTTGTGATTCAGTTGTCTTCATTTAGTTCCTCATGGTTCTGGAAAACTGGAGGAGGAGGCTATGTTTTCTATAGAGAGGAGCTACTTTTATTTATACCCTCAACTTTTTGATGGGTTTCTGTGAGAATTTTTTTCAAAGTAGCATTTCAGTACTTTAATGACTTCCATTTAAGATGAATGAAATCAAAATGTAAAGAAATTCCATTTTTTTCATGTATACATCCTCATAATGACCCTTTTGATTTTTTCTTTTTAAAGTAGGCAACACTGTTTTACACTCACAAGATTTTGAACATAGCATTAATAGTAGAGCTTTGGATTTTATGTAACTATCTGGTTAAGGCCGAGATTGTAGTATGTCACCAAATATCATGATTGATTGGTAATTTAATGTCAACTTTGAAATGTGTTTTCTCAAGTTGAGTAGGAGAGTGAGCTCTAGAGATGATAGAAAAGAGCTGTATCTTGAATCCCACATATTTAAGGCAGGGACTTTATAAGTGAGAGAGGCTAGTGTTGATGAACCTTTTTCCTCCCCTACACCATGGAGTGGAGTGGTTTAACACTATTTGATGATGTTCTGCATTTTGATTTTGTCTTTCTGTGTAAGTTCTGAAGCCTCTGGTTCTATTGACAGTAAAGTCAAATTAGTAACTTGAAGTAAGAGAAGTTAATTTTCTGGTTAATATATAACTTCCTGTTAGGTTATTCGTTTTCAGTTGTATAAATCATGTTTGTTTGTTTTTTAATGGTAAGCTATGAGTAGATTGATTTCATTTATGTTACATACATTTTCTGAGCATCTGCTAGGTGCCATTCTGAGTTGGTGATGAAAAGATGCTCATAGTCTAGTAATTGAGATAAGAGATTTTATTAATGATCAAAGGAACAGGAATATGCACAGGAAGATGCTGTCAAATTATGGAAAGTCATCTAAATCTGATTGGATGCTCAAGTGTCACCAGAGTAGGTGACAATTTTACC